AGGCAAAACCATTCTCGACCAATCAAATGGCTAGAATCTGCCTCAAGTAAGTCAAGGCCACTGAGCTTACAACCGCTGAATGAAACTTGATAACTGGACTATTGTGAATATTAATTACATTTGCTATCACTGCAGGAAGGATTAAAACTGGAGTACTGGACACTTTTATGAATCAGTAATTATCTGCGCAATTTTTACGTTAGTCGCGCGACTTATTTGACAACCCCTAGATCCGCCCCTGCTTGTGAAAGGACTATTATATTACTTATTGTTGACGTTGTGTTCTTACTGTTGACTAACTGATTGATATATAGTGAACAATATTAACTTTTGATACATTTTGATACAATATATTAGGAACATTGTAAATAATTAGATATAAATGATAATAAATTATTCTAAAATACAACACCCATATTAAAAGTCGAATTGCAATATTGATTTTTGGCGGTGATGGAACGCCATATATATTGGCATGGTACATCATGCCAAAATTTTAGGCCTTACATAGTGTCAGACACTCAATGTCAACGAAGTGATTAAAAAGGCTATTTATTATTTTTTTCTCGTTCAATCTAAACGAGCTAATATTCCGGCAAAAGATTTTATAAATTTCCACATTACATGTACAGTGTGTCCCCAAAAAAGGCTACCCTTTGAAGTCAAGCGCTAGTGCCACATGTTCGAATTTGAATGCTTTAACTCCCTAATGAGTCCTGGAATGCGTAAAACGTTATACTGTACGTAGTCAATTATATTCATGCATCATTCCGTGTTATTTTAGCGGAACAAATTTCAATTAATTTGCAATGCATGCATAAAAATGCTCTGCTATAACGTTTTACGCATTCCAGGGCTCATTAGGGAGTTAAAGCATTCAAATTCGAACATGCGGCACTAGCGCTTGACTTCAAAGGGTAGCCTTTTTGGGGGACACACTGTATTCGATCTATATTCTCGATTATGGCGCTTAAGTTTTCCATTATACGCCGCCACAATATACCTTGTGGAATTCGTAGCGGCGGAACAAGTCCAAAAACCAGCCTTTTCCATCCCGAAAGGTTCCGTATGAAGACAGATTATTGCATGTCATCGCGTTTAGGCACCTTATCTTCCTGACGTCAGAACTTTGGGGACAAGCTATTTAGCTCGATCATTACAAACAGTGATTATAAACTTTACAACGTATTATATGTACCTAACGTAGCTAATTCCTATTTAAGTACCAGTGAACTTATGAGTTCCCATATATTAAAACCAGTGTTGTAACGAGTCGAGTCATTGACTCTGACTCGAGTCAACTCGAGTCGCTATTTTCAGCGACTCGACTCGACTCGAGTCCAATACGAAAAATGACTCGACTCGACTCGAGTCAACAGTCCCAAATGACTCGACTCGGACTCGACTTGCTGATTTTGCCGTAAATGACTCGAGTCAACTCATCTACAACTTGTACAGAGTAAATTCATCACAATTATTGTGATTGTATTGCTTGGGAAGAACAATGAGCCCTGTAAAGAATGAGAACTTTGAAACTTTATCAGAAAATATATGGGATTTACATAGAATATATTCCTGACGGGCATACCTACATTACATTTCTGTTTTTAGAAACAACGCTAGTGCCACAGTTTTTTAAAATTAAGTCTCAAAATATTTTGTACTTATACTAATTCTGACAGGCTATTTTCATTTTTGGTATTTATGAAGGGCTATATAATTTCAAATCAACTTGCAAAGCGTTGTTAATTAAAGTCTATTCTTTGTTAATTCTGACTTGTATGTACGTACACTCGATCAGCAGGTATGATGAGACATCTCACGTGGTTGACTCGAACTGTGATATTGGCACAGCCTATAGCTGCCCAGATACTGTTATTAATTTAAATGACTAAAGTAATCAGTTTAAAACGCAAATTTGATTACTAATTTCCGACAGCAAGCTGGAGTAGCTCAAGTAAAGTCTAGAAATTGACTCGACTCGACGTAAATCAGTGACTCGACTTGACTCGAGTGAAGCCGCTGACTCGACTCGACTCGACTCGAGTGAAGCCACTGACTCGACTCGACTCGATCAAAAACTGAAATGACTCGACTCGACTCGTGACTCGACCTTTGAGTGACTCGACTCGACTCGTGACTCGACCTGTAGGTGACTCGTTACAACACTGATTAAAACTAATAGATTTCTAAATTCTTTTATTCCATCATCATCAGCAAATTTGCATAAACATTTTAATTTAAATTCCTTGCCTCTTACTCTTACTCTTACTCTTACTCTTAGATTAAAATTTTTCCAGCACAGAATTATGTTTAATATAATGTAAATAATGTACGAAAGAATAGTTTTCGCTAAAAGGGGAAATAAGTTCTAAACATAAAGCTTTTTCGCAAGAAAGGAAGTGCAGCGTGGCGAAATATTTCCTGTTATAGCCTATATAAATGTTACAATATATTAATTGCAAATGCCAGCTGTCTGCGAACAGTCGATACAGAAATTCGTTTCCTATAGAAAACGACTCTTCCTATAGAAATATACAGTTGGCAGGCAAAAGTTAACTAGTATATATAGAGAACAAATTTCTGTGCAGCAAACGAATTTCGAAATCCGTACAGATATTAGGCTATACTCAGAAATATTACCCAGCCAAAAATTACAAGACTGATCACAAGATCTTATCAGACTTCTTCACAAAACATCATCATAATCAGATTGAAAAGCTAAGCGAAGTGAACGGAATAATACTGTATAAATATAACGTTTTGATAATTTCAAGGTCGAGTACCATCTTGAAGTCCTGTCAATAATCAATATAACGTGTCTGTGAATCATATACATTCAGAAGCCGCATAAATCTCAAGGGCATCGCAACTTCATTCGCTGGCCATAATTACAACGGTTATATCATTTTAGTATTTTTGTACAAGTGAATTTAGTATTTTTGTACAAGTTGATTCATCAAATTTGACTTACTAGTTACTAAGCTTTTATATTTACCTACAGTAGCCTACAGGTGAATATATATAACAAAACCAAAATTTGAAAAATGGCGGCTATTCGTTTTGTGGAAGTTACTGATAAACAAATAAGCGAAATTGAATTGAATTTAGCCCCTCAAAACAGAAAAGACTTGTGTAAAAATACTAAATACTATTCGCCTCAGGCTCGGTGATTATCGGGAATATCCACCTCGAATTCGTCTCGGTGAATATTCCTCGATATATAATCACCTCGGTGACAAGAGTTGTGTTTTCGGTCAAGAATGACGAAAATATATACGTTTTCAGCAGACAACTTTAGACATGAATATATTTTTCTTTGTTCTTGAATAAACACAACCCATCGACCTTGTGATCGTAAAGATATGACCACCGGCAACCCTGGTAAAAACAGTTAACAATTGTTCGCCGAAGACGTGACAATGTTATTATCGGGGAATATTCACCGAGACGAGGTCGAGGTAAATCATCCCCGATAATCACCGAGCCTATAAGGCGAATGATTATTTTAGTACTTTTACACAAGTCTTTTGTG